CCCCCCCAAGGAAAAAAAATTTTTTTGTACATTACAATGCTTCTGTTTGTTAAATGCACACTGCTATTATTTATCATATGTGTGTCACGACGCAGTGGAATCGGGCGCTTGTCAATTTTGGGGCATATGAAGGTAGTGGTATCATCTTAAAGCTTCGTTATTTGTCTTGCGTTCAGTGAAAAAGTTATCCACCTTTCTTTAATAGAATTGAAGATATTTGCGATTGAAGGATGTGGGGGTCGCCTGGTTTCAGAGGTAAAAATAGAGAGAAAATGGCCCCCAAATTTTGATGAATTCCATAACTGAAGAGCCCTAGGAAAATGAAAATTTACATTTTTGGTGCATTTAGTTAACGTTTTTACAGTAAAATCAACAGAGGAATGGTTTTTTATTTGACATATTAAAAGATGTTTCGCCCCCCCCCCCCCCAAAAAAATGCTGCCTCACATATTCATTTGCTTTTGGTTTGTCAAATACTCATTTGCAGCTGGATGGACTACGAAGGTGAATAATGTCCTATACAGCTACGCTGGAATGGAACCCAGCGTCTTATGATCCTAAAAAGAGTTTTGACACATTATTCCTACTTGATGCCCTTCACAGTGAAAAATATGTTTTTAAAATCTTGAATGGCAGACTCATTTGAACTCATTTCATGGTTATTTCTTTTGCAGATTGACGGTCCTGGGGACTTTGATGTCCAGGAAGTTTCTTCACAGAGAGATAAGGTGAGACATTCCATTCTACAAGGTACTTACGATTGCTCTGATAACCTTAAGCGAAGAGTTGCTACAATATACATGAGAAATAGTTTTCTCAGGGGGGTCGCTTTAGTTCTGTCCTCTTTTTTTTTAAGAGTTGTTTATCTTTGAGAAAAATAGAGATTTGTTTTTTTGTGTCTCTTGTTAGAGTGGTCATGTCGTACTGTTTCTAAAATGTTGTTTTCGAAAGATATAAGATTAGTAATTATAACTGTAGATGTTTTACACACCCATCAACGCGATTTAAATAATTTAAGAGACTGGCTGCTTCACACCCTGCCTGTAGTGTAGGAACCAACCCAGAATGAGAGAGACTCAACATCCCAGCAAAAGGACGGAGATGCTCTGTAAAATATCAGGAATAGATTGGGACAATATCGACGTCGAACACACATACCTCCTCGTGTGATACCTGCACATGCTTGCCTTTCACCCTTAAAGATGTCGGTTCATGTGGATGTGAGTTATGGATAATTTCTGGTGTTTTTTTTTCTTTGGGTTTTCCTCACCTTTGTAGTGGTTATTGTAAATGTTGCATAACCCTCCAAAATATTTTCAAGAATTTTTTTTTGGGGGGGGGGGGGGGGGCAGGATGCTTCGACCCTGCCCTGATTGTATTCTAGGATGTGTTTATATTTGATATTGATATTTATTTGACCTCACTATGACCCCAAAAGTCCAGTGGTTATGCCTTATTGAAAATGCTTTCTTTTCTTGAAGTAGAGGCTGTACTAAAAGCCCTCAGTTTAGTTTTCCTTGGTTAAAGTTGCTGCCAGTGTCACAAGCAAATAATATGTTATCCGCAAAAATATTGTAACAATGGTAAAATTCTTGTGCTGCCCCCAGATTTGATCATGTTTGTGTAGTTAATGGCTAGCCTTGCTTTTGATCCCCCACCTGTCCAAAGCCGGTCATTATGTGATGATTTGTTCTTCTTGTCCTCAGAGAGAAAGGAGGAGCCTATGGCAGTGGGGCTCAGCTTGGTCAGGGAACGTTCAACTTCTTTTCCTACAGGTTTGCCCTTGTGTTTTCTCTTATTTTCTACAATTAAAAAAAATTTTTACATTCATTTTTGCTTATTTAATTTTCAGACTGTAATTTTTAAACTATTACTTTATTGTTTAATCTTGAGGAGCTGTGGTCTTTTTGGAGTATTCATATAGAAGATGGTACAACGTGCCTGAGATGGAATAACTTGAATAAGAATATAGAGATGAGGTGAGTTAACAAACATGTGCTGTGACCTGCAGAAAAATGTATAATGTGTTTTGTTTTAGTACTTTTAGTGACCTTTCTTGACTAGAAGTGGTTCTCCTTGGCTCAACTGATCAGTTGCTACTTACTGATAGTAAATATTTTGTGCCCCAGTCAGCACTATTTAAATGATTTTGGATTTGGGCTGAGCATTTTATCTAAAATCATTCAGATAAATAATACAGAAATACTCTTTGTTTGATGGTTACGAGACAGAGTGATAAGAGGAGCCTACAAAAATTATAACACAATCCTTTAGAGAATATCTCTTACTATTCAATATTCACTCGCCACACTATGGACAGCTCAAGCAAGGGCACATGACTCTTGAAGCGCAGCGAATGTTTTTTCCATGAAATTAGCTGTGGCAATGAGCTCCCCTAACCCTACTTGAAATTCAAAGGGCTATGAATGGTGACGTGATGTCAACACATTGCACTGTCTGGGACAACAACACATGCGAGCTCAGTGACTGGCGGGCTATCACAATATGAGAAAAACCATTCAACAGGGCTTCGAATTGTGGAAGTTTGATCTGGGCTTATCTTATATAAGAAAAAAAAAACGATTCGACGGTGCTTTGAATACCGGAAGTTAGATCTGGGCTTGTCACATATAAGAAAATACGATTCGACGGCTCTTCGAACTGCAGAAGTTAGGTCTGGGCTTATCACATACAAGAAAAAACTATTCGACGGAGCTTTGAATAACTAGCGAATGTAGTATAGAAGGACTTAGGTCTGGGTTTATGCTTATCATATGGCGACCTCAGTATTTTTTGGTTGTATCTCCATTTTTCTTAACAGTGAAAATGTGACATCTTCTTAAGCTCACTCTTTGTTATGAACTGTTTTCACTGTTATTAACAATGGAGATACGACAAGAAAGTACAGGGGTTGCGATATATAAGAAAAGAAACATTTGACGGAGGTGTTCAAATGTCATGAATAGTGAGCTCACGCTTCGAAGCTTCGATGATTTTTTGTTGCTCAGTGATGATTCTGATAACAAAATTAGAACACCACTAAGATGCAGAATGGCCTACTTGCATTTATTTGGTTTCAAAGTCGTGACTTGCCAAAAGGAAATAACGCAAGATAACTTCTAACACTTTTTCTGCTTGAGAGACCCGCGCACGCTCACTCTTTTTTTTCTGCTAATTATTTGTCTCTGGTCCTGATAGTGTACTCAGTTCATGGATTGTGTGTTTCAGAGATCCTCACTCGTTGGAAACCCTGGACGTGTTCAACCGCTGCATCGAGTGGGCCGGTGATGGAAAGTTCTCTGAGGAGGACGTAGAGGAGGCCAAGCTCGGAGTGTTCCAGAAGGTCAGGGCTGACGCAGTGTTTGCTGTCTGTGTGTTGTGTTTGGGGAGGGTGTGTTATTTCATTGTTCCGAAAATGATGCAATGATATCTTTTTAAAACATTGAATTTGAATCTGAATCGCAAAAATTTTTTCTTCCTTTTTTTTATTTGAAAATTATAAGGATAATGTGTAAGTCCTCAAAGAATAATGTTTTTTAAGGTATCAGTATTCTTCTCGTTGACAAAAAAAAAAAAAATGAAAGTAACTTTCCTTGAAAATACATATGAAAATAATTGTCTCCTTTAATAAGTGTCCTTCTCAGATTCTTGCATCGCAGGGTACAAGTTGCTTCTGTATGAAAAAGAGACATTCGTCTGCCAAAAGTTAACTCTTTCCGGGCGTAGTTTTTAGGGGGTCTAGACGTATTTAACTTGTGGCTCGATTTGGCTACACAGGTGGTGTACAAAATAACTTCTTAGAAGCAAAACCATCACTCAAAGGGTGACATATGATATATCAAATTGAAGGAAATTGAATAAGGAATACATTCCAACTTGAAACAAGGATTAATTTTGAATATATATATAAATATGCTTTACAAGGGTTGGAAATGATGATGAGAAAATTAAATTTTAACGGAAAAGATTACATTCACCAAACATGTGAAAGAAAATCAGCATAGATATCTTATCATATACAGGCCAAGAGCATAATCCATAAATTTCTGAATGCGCAGCTTTTTATTTGAAAGCAATATTCCAATTTTTGTTTGAGTTATGATATTTATACTGAGTCCGGTTACATCGTTTTGTTGATGCAAGACCGCAACAACAAATTCACTCGTTTTTCCCCAAACCCACGCTTTGACGAAGTGAAACTAGATGTTTTCGGTTCTTAAATCCTTTCCTAGTTTCAATAACAATAAAAAGTAATTATAAATGACGGATCATGTTAAAACGAAACAATAGTGAGGTGCCCTATCACAGTCGTTATATCGGCGATACGTCCGGAAAGAGTTAAGATTTATTAGAATTTCAATTTGACCTGCAGGGAAGTTAATGAGCTCATAAGTAACACCGTCTTTTTAAAAAAGTGCCCCCAAAACTTGCATGCTTGGGTTTCTCAAGCTACTTCTTTTTCTTCTCGATCGCATCACACTTTTGAAGTCTGGTATCTGTCATAAATTGGGCCGTCCTGCTCAGCTTGTCAAGCTATATTTTCTATACACTTTTGTGACAATCATCTTTTCACAGGTCTAGAGGAAAATTATTCTAAGTGACATGTCGGCCGAAATTAGGATTTTTCAACAGCCTTAACCCTATCCGTACGTCGTGTTTTACTATTGTATCCATACGATGCGGGGAAGTCTGTGCCACCACTTTCCAAAGAGGAAATTTGCTGGTTATTCCGATCCGTATGCTTTGCATAGCAGTCTGTCAAAATGATTTTTTGAGAAATACTGAAAGTTTCAAAGAGATCTTCGCACTAGAAGTATTCTAAAATGTGAAGAATACAACCACGGGAGTACAAAATGACCCCAGGGCGTACGGATAGGGTCACCTTCCACCGAGGGACGTAACTTGTGTTAAAACATCAGAGCCGGAGCTTTAAAATTGACAGTTGCTGCCCAATGAAAAGTTATTCTATCTCCTACTTGAGAACACATTTTGATGAAAAGTATTATATGTGGCAGTTGAAATACTTTTCCAAAAAAATTGCTTCCGGTGGTAGAAAATGAAGAAAACTATTGTAAGTGTGTGAGTTAGAATACTTTTCTTCTCAAATGGCTCTGCTAAAAACAAAGGAAACTATTTTAAGTACCGCTTTAGAATAGTTTTCCTCACACTTTTGCTCAGAAAAAAGTTATCTAAGTGACACTTTGTTTGATTTAACAAGAATGGAAGACATTGATTAGAAAACGATTTACGAAATGAGCCCATGTTTGTTTTGGATCCTAGAATTGCGTTCTGTTGAAATGAGAAAGTTTTTTCCTTCTCCTTTAAAATTTGCAAAATGTCATTTAGAATAGTTTTCCTCTAGACCCACGATTTTATCTCGACTGCCTAGTGTAAGACCCTGCCAAACACCGTTTTGAAAAGTGATGTATGAAAGTCTTACTCTGAGAAGTCGACTATTTCAAGGCTTCTCAAATGTACATTGATATGTAATAATTTCTTACAAGTGTTTACAGTGAATGGTGGTCTTTGGCAGTGAAATGTATTTGATAGACTAAGGAGGTGAGAATTCTTTCCAGAGTCGATAATGAGTGCCTTATCAGCAACTTAATTTTACAAACTTTGTGATATTTGGTAATATTTTGTGATGTAATTTGCTTCTTTTTTGTCTAAACTTGTTCTATTAACAGTCTTGTTTATTTTCTTCATGTCTATAGGCTGACCATCCAGTGACCCCGGCCAACAGAGGCCAGACACGTTTTATTCGCGATATCTCAGACGAAATGAGGCAAAAAAATCGAGATCGTTTGTTTGCTGTAAATGGAGATGATCTTAAGCGTGTTGCAAAACAGTAAGTGACCATTAAATCTTGGACTTTTTGGGAAGTTTTGGATCGTGAAGATAGAAGTTAAGAACTTAAATCTCAGATAAATAAACCGACCATCTATGGACAGATGATATCCCTATGGTTACCAGAGAGGTTGCGTTAGTGATTGGATAATAGTACATACTGTGTTATTTGTAAATGCATAAACCTTTGGTGGGGACAGGGGCGTTGTTGTTTTTGTGTACATGTTCACCATTTTTTCATATGAAACATTTCGATTTACCTTCATTTCTGGAGAAATATTTATTTTAATAATATAATTAGGACTCCAATATTAAACGGAGAATGTGTATAAGGGTACCAGAGTATAGGGTTCTCAAACTCAGAATTGCTCTTGAGATTGTTGGGATCGGAAAACCTTAGCAACACTATTGGAGCGAGCTGATGTCAAGTCTTACATCTTTTTTAAGATTACTGATGTTGTGCTTTGTTACATTTTGAGGCTGTAAGGGTGGGAGGGCGGTTGGTCATTTCTTTTTGTAAGCTGTTCATTAACTCGGAGGTGGTTGCTTTTCATGCAATGTACTACAAGTACTCACCTTTCCTCTGTCCGCAGGTATCTCAACCCCAGCAAGTGTCCATCTGGCACTGCCTTCTTAGGACCAGTGAATGAGAAAGTTCGGGGAAATAAGAAGTGGTCAGTGGTCAGCGAGGATGATACAACAACAGAGGAGGAGCCTGTGTAGTGTGTGTGTGTGTGTGTGTGAGACCTCAACGTTGGCGTTTAAAAAAAAGTAGAAACAGTTCGTGTCCTTAACTTGCCTGGGAAAAGACCCGCATTATATTTCGTCTGTTTGTTTGAGCTTCATCTGGAAAAGATATAGCTCCACTTGCTTAGGTCTATGGCTTGAATAGGAGATGGTCATGTTGTTCCATTCTGTCAGAGGCATGATGTGTTTGAATGATGCTTTCTACGGTCAGGAGGCTGGGAGAAGGATAAGGGGATAGAAGCACAGAAGCCTAATAGGTAAATTTCTGAACTGGTGGCCATTCTTCTGGTCTGGACTGTATGATTTGTTTGTACTTTTGTGGTGCTAGACTTCATTTTTGGACATATAGGTTTATGACTTTCCAATATTTTGCAAGAGAAAACATGTATTTGTGTTCAGTTAAATGACTGAGCATACATAGATAATAATGGTACATGCTTTGATAATTATGTTTTTCGCTTTAAGGAATTTTATTCGGACTTCGTAGTGATATGAATGTCAAGAATGAAAGACAGAAAAATGTCTTTGCTCACTGCCTCTTGTGGAGACTACCAAAGTAAATCACAGAAACATGTTTTTTTGGGGGGGGCCATAGGGATTTACTCAACAAAGTGAGACCAATAACGCTTAATCTAACTTAAAAAGGAAAAGAATTGTTTTAAAGAAATTATCTATAAAGTAGATAGAGGCCTTTGTTCGTGTTTGGTAAAGTTTTCAATTGAATCAGGCTTTTATATTTTTCACAGTGTCTGTTTCCACAGATTTAGTAAGAAACTGAAATTATAATATGTAATTCCTGTTTTGATGAATACTTTGTGCATCATGCTGATTTGTGCTTCAAACATAAATCGTATCAAAATATAAAAAATATGTCCATTGGCTTCTTGATCACCAATCCTTTAAATGCTTTTGCAAAATGAATATGTATGTAATTTCCAATCTGGTGCACATATTGATATATAGATGTACAGTAGACTTCACTTAAAGTCAGTTCTGCGAAAAAAAATGTTTAGAAAAAAAAACGTGCCTTTTTCCTATTACCCCTGACTACATTGGAAAAGAAAAAGGAAACTCGTACGAGTGTTTTTATCATTAAATCTGTGTGTTCTTTTTGTGTCTCCTTTAGATGATCCAAAGGATAGTCCATTGTACGACCATTACATAAATTTCTGACGTATAATATTAGACCAGTCCCATCTGCCTGGGGACTGTCAAAATGACTTATGTATTGATGATCCTGTGGAGATAATTGTATAGTAGAGGAGACTATTTGTGTTGATGAGATGTACATTGACAACTTTTTGTGTAAGCAGATCATAGTTATCTTTTGTAATTCTTTCATTTGCCGTGGGCTTTTTAAAATGTCCTTCTCCTACCAGTTTTTGCCTTTGTGATATGATGACAAGACACAATAGGTTGTGTTGTGCCGGGGTTTTGTTTTTTCTTATTTCATCTGTTGTTACATTTTGTCAAAGATTTCTGAGCCACTCCAACAACAGTAATGCTTCACCTTATGTGAAAGGGTGACGTTGAATTAGGATGTTCGTGACGAAAGTTTTTGGAAGTGTGTGTTTGAGGAAATCTTTGTTCATTGTTCTTTTGGTAGAAGGGAAATGCTCATCTCCTTCCTTACATCAGAAGAATTTGTTCTCTTGTAGTTGGACTCCATTCTTCCAATGTCTTCCAAGGTGTCCAAGAGCTGTATATTTCTATCAGCTCTCATCATTTAAAATTGAATGTCTTTTCTTTTTGTAATGATGAGGAAGTCTGTTATTCATTTTTGTTTCTCCACAGCTCTGCTAGTTGTGATACCTTTTGTTTTAATTTTTTAAGGCCATTTTGATTTATCCTAATGCAAGATGCGTGAAGTCTAAAGCTATAAAAGATGACATACTGGGATGGCCTGCTGTGGTGTTTATGGGGGGGTGTTGTTTGACTAGTGTGATATTCTGTGATTCTCTGTAAACTGTGACTGTAACGACATGCTGATGTAAACATTTTTTGGAAGAAACAAACAGAAACTAGAATCAATTGCTGGTTTGATCGGGAAATACAGTTTCAGAAGGATGACCCTTCGGGAAGGTAGCTGGATGGTGACATTTGGATAGAAAATAGGCAGGCCACTGGAACTGACAGTGGCCTACTTCAGTCACTGATGGTGTTGTGCTTTCTGCAGTTTTAGGCTATGCTTGGCCTTTTGAGGCATTCAAAGAGTGTTGACAATTACAGTGTTGTATAAGTCGATTTCTTTTGATAGAGGTGAAGTTCCGTGTTTTGATACCTAATGTCAGAGACGACTTTAACTAAATGTTCACCATTTTATGTGATTGATATCATAATTTATTCTCCTGTGTATTGCTCCTGTGTAATTTTTTGGTTAAAGCAGCTGTTCCCTTCACTTGTACATTTCCATTTAGCATCGTGCCTTTGCTGAGGTTTGAGCGGTGAAATCATTGACTTTGGAGCTTGCTCTGATATTTCTCCAAGGACAGACACTGACATAAGCTGTCAGCTTATTGCTTAAATTTATACTAATAGAGGTCACCAGAAGTTGTTTTGTTTCACCAGTTTAATAAATGACTAATTTTTTTATCAAACGTTGTCTGCATTTGTTTAACTTGAACATGTCATTGGTGTATTGCTTGCCTAGCATCGTGGCAATAGGTCACGGATGCATTCCAACTTCTCAGTTCTTGTGTTCTTCTGGCTAGTCTTTTACATTTTTCTCCTTACTGTGGCAATGAGGTACTGAATTAGGCATGAAATATAAACCTGTATAGTGCAAAGAGTAGCAACTTTTAAGGTGTCGCATACTCTGATCAATGTGTTTATTCATATATTTCCTGTCACATCAAGGGGCCTTTGGCTAATGTTTTAAAGTATAGGGGGTAATCACATGATCATTTCAGAGTTTGTAGGCTATTAGTTCAGAACTTTCTTTTGAAGTTAGAAATGCTGTAAAAGATTTTTTTTTTTTTTCATGATTGCAATGAAATTCCTACTATTCAATGAACTTGCCATGTTGTCAGGACGATGAAGATCCTACCCATTGAGATATTTCTCTATAGCCTAACGTATAAAATTCTAATTCTCTCAGTCCTTGTTGTAGATTTTATGTATGTAATAATATACAAGAGAAAAACAATAGACAAATTTGGTGCTATGGCTTTTTTCCAACAGAAGACATAGGTGAGGAATAATTGTTGACAATGTAAAGTTATATCTTAACTTTCTTTGTTGTTCACTTCCTCTATCAACCGCTCCCCTGTACATTTCAGCTCTGAAAAGCTTGTTTCTTTCGTTATTGGAAGATATTTATGGTTTGATGAATAAACCCAAGAGTTAATCAATGCTCACTTTTGGTTATTGCTTCAAAGTAAAAAAAGACAATGTTGGTTTTGTGTTGTATAGTTGAACCTGCTCTAATGCCCACCTGTTCAAGACAATCACCTGTTCAAGACAATCACCGACCCCCCGGGGCAGTAGTGTCTTTAGGCCATTCCCAAAAGGGGGACATATCTCGTTCAAGCATCGTAGAATTGTAAATGGGCTGACTCATGTCACGCTCATAACTGTGCCTGATCTACAACAGGGAAGTGCTGCTTTTTTTCCCTGATTCTTACTATTGTCATTTTCCTCTACTTCTTTTGTATGTTTGTCACTTCCTTGTGACCTGCTATTTTGGGGTGCCTTGATAGTCGAAGCAGACCTTGTGCCTTGTGCTGTTGAAGCTAGAGAGGTGAACAGTCTAAGTCTGATTCCCTGTAAAAACTTCTCTGTTGACACCCACCCCTTGGCGCTCATATGACCTTATGCAGTTGCAAGCGCCGTAAAACCCTCTACTATTTTCTTTAAAAAAGACAATCACCCGTACAAACCACCACTTCCTACTTCTGCCCCTTGTGTCGTTTTCTTTGTTCCTATGGCATTGTCCAAGACGTCCACCTGTCTGAGACAACCACTTTTCTACTTATCACTGGATGGCTGTCGTGGACAATTGGTAGCTTTTAAGGACAAGCAGGCAAACCCAGATTTCGGGGGTTTCCAGGAATCTTGACCTACACCAAAAGTGGGCATTGCCCTACCTATAGGAGAAGTTTGGTTTCATTGTTTGGTTATAGAGAAAACTCTTCTTGTCTTGTAAAGAAACTGAATAAGTATCCAAAACTCTACCTTTGATTTTCTCAAAAAAGCATTTTTCGGGATAGCCCCCTCCTTGTGCTTAAAAGCGACCAATTTGACTGTGTAGTGGTGTTTCCCTCCCTCTACTTCCTACTTATCTTTTGGTTTTTTTTTACTTAGCATTTTTGCTACACTTGCAACACAGTTAGGTCATATAAGAAGATCAAAGGTATTGTTGCAAGAGAGTAACAAACACCAAAAACAGGAGGAGAGAAAAGGATGATAGATGTTTGAAAGAAAAGAAGGAGCTGTGGATTACTGCCCCCTCAGTGGCCATCTCACAGAGAAATGTACCTGGCTCACTCTCACTCAGTCTTTCTCAGATTGTTGGACGAGGCATTCTGTTGATTAAGCTTGAGGAAAGAGAAAGAATGATAAGAAAGAAATAAGACAACATTTTAAGAGAAATTCTGGGACTCTTCCAGGTCAGTCCATCCAGAGTCAGGAGGAAAAAGCAGTTCTTTTCAAAAACATCAAACATGTTAAAAAAGAAGATAAAAAAGATGATTTTTTTTTTTCCAAAATAATTTTATTGGCCAAAGCCATTGTTACATGCACATCATTTCATTTTGTTTTTCGCTTTAAAAAAGACTAAAAATATCATCAACAGTGGGGTCAGCTTTTGTGTGCCTTGAGAGTGCGGGGGGAGGAAACAGGAGTACAAAATGTCGCAGGAAGAGGCAGACAACTGGGGTGAAACAATGTTGGGAAGAGTCGCAGCTCAAGATTTGAGCTTATTTATTCAAAAGTGTGCACACCATAAGATCTACGGAATAGGAAAATCTTGCTCAAATATCTGAGTCTCTTTTGACATCCAAATCCCAGAATTAATTACTCTAAAAAAAGGGATTTCGATGTCAAATGACACGCCACACAGGTTGAAACTTATAACTTCAGTAAGTCTTATCATGTGCATACCCCATACAACACCATCACCCACATCCCAGAAACCCTTCCTAGACTAAACAGCCTACAATTAGCTCTCGCATTATAAGAAAGTATACGAAAACAACATGAAGAGAGCAACAGCGATGATACAGCATTGTCTCCTGTATGTGTATAATCTGTGTCTGAATATGCAAATGACATACGGGGTTTGTCCTTACGTCTTGCCTCCTTCATGAAGAAATCAAGACACAAACTTGTAGAAATATGCTGAGTTTATGTTAATTCATTCTGGAAATGATGAGCACAGTTTAAAAAGAAAGATATGAAAAGGAAAAACTTTTCTGCATGCCACCAAACTGACCATGTGTAGTTCAAAAGTAGATGAAAAAATTACCGCTTTTCAATGTCGGAAACATCAAGAAATATCATACATGAAATAAATAATTTTGAGTCCCCATTTCTTCACAGTAGAGGTAAAGACTGCAAATACATCCCAAACATCAGTTCAAAACAGTTGAGGTTCTAAAATGAGAGTCATTTTTCTCAGCTTTCTGAGCAGTTCTTGAGAAATATCTTTCCCATATCAAGGCTTCGAGATGGTTCAACATCGAGAATCCCCACGAACAATTTTTAAAAAGCTTAGCAAAGCAACCTATCAAAAGTACATACAAATATAAAAAAAGCGCACGTAAGTTACGGGTGACTGGGGTAGAGACCATGTGGAAGAACATTTGCTGTAAATGAACAGAGTATAAAGTAAGGTCAGGGTCACTAGGAAAAAGTCATAGGGGAAGTGAAGAGAGACTGAGGAACCACTAGCTTGGTGGTGTAGGTGTAGACAAGTCACACTCAGATCAAGAAGGACATAATGGGACTCAGTAGTCCATCTGAAGACTTTCCAGCGTCCAAGATTACCTTGAAGTTGGTTTAGAAGCACCGGTACAACAAATGATTCTGTAATAATTATTTCCCAATTTCATAAGTTCCAAAAGCCCATACCAGACCTCATTAAGCTAATCATTTATTCCCATAACATTCATTGTTATTTGAGTAAATGCCCTATATATTCCATACAAACAATTTCCATGTGGAGTTCTTGGTTAACATTTCACTGAGCTGGCAGATAATACTCCAGGAAGGACGAGAAAAAGAGTTAAGACCAAACATGAACTGAATCTGTAACTTCCGAGAAGCATCTCAAGTTCACGACCTACTGCACCATACTGGGCAGCTCCTCAGAGAAAGAAACGTGGAGAAATGGAAGTGACAGGCGGCAAAACTGAAGACAACAGCGAGCAGGAGGAGAGACAGATAGAAGAAAGAACTTGGAGACGAACACAAACCAATAAATTGGCAGAAGGGAGGGAAAGAATGATGAGGACTGGACCCATTTTCTACATGAAAATGATTGACGGAATGATTGATGAATAGAAACTATACCATAGTACAAATGGAAAAACTGGCAGGCACTACACAAATCCATGTACAGGGGACCATCACTAACAGAGGAACATTTGTGGAGGAAACATTTTACAACAGGACAATTCAAATTTTATCTGGACTAAAAATGGCAACATAAAAGAACAACATACATTTCATCATGGGCACAGCACAGAAGAAAATTAGCAGATCCTTTTCTTTCTGTTTTATCCGGTACACCCCCAGCCATACAGAAGAGAATCTAATAGGATGAGCACACACTACCCCTTGTCAGAGTTAAATATTAGATCCAATATTGAAAGTCACAAGTTCTAACTGAATTGTAGAACTAAAAATGTTAACACTGTATGCCTTTAAAAAATAGCTTGTATCTTCTGCAACCTAGTTAAAGATTTGACATTGTGAACTGGACGATGTAAGCAGAAGGACGGGTAAGGGAGAAAGAAAAAAAAAAAAGATAAAATTAGAGACTGGAAAGGGTATCACATCTCACCGTCTCACATTCACAAGCATGATAAAGACGTGGCTTGAACCTTTGAGCCTGCAAGTCCCGTGGACCTGAGTATCTTAGGGAACTGCCGGGTTTGCAAAACCCCACACTTACACTTACATGCTTTTGATACTTAGCACAAGGGAAAGGATAGCATGTTCTGAGGCATGGCCCAGGATCTGTGGGGTTCAATAATGAACAGTCATAAAATTATTTTAAAGCAGACTTATTCCTTTCTCATATAAAAACTGACTGTGGTTGTAGAAACAAATTTGGAAACAAATAAGAGGACTGTTTTGTCGCTCTGTGTCCTTGTTAGATGACAGGGTTAATCTACGACTGAGAAATGTTTGCTGAGAACTCAAAAAAAAGTAAAAGACAATTATCATGAAATGATTAACGGACATCGTTTTAAGCACAGACTGTTGTAGTAATACCAAAAAGTAGGAGAAGCCACCCACTTTGGAGCATAATTTGGCAAACCAGCTGCAGGTGGAAGAAGCAAGGGTGGATGACAACATGACGCTCAATGACAAACTGCAGAATAAAAAACACAAAGGGTATTCCTCGTGTAAGCAACCATCAGCCTTGAAGCCATGTAAGCATACGAAACAACAGCGAGCATGAAAGTTGAATAAATTAAGCAATCTACGGTATATGTACATAAATTATATAAAGTCACTGATGAATCATTCATGCCAACTGCAAGCAACAAAACAGTGGATGGCCCTGTCCACACTCCACATACAATCATAGCCTTTAACAATACGGACAAAAAAGCACTTATGTACACTTTGCAGGACCCATCAAGACAGCGGTACAGGAAACAGAGGCAGAGACCAGAGACTCAGAAGAGCGGAATTGCACAAGTCCATAGCCACGTTTTACACCAAGAGCACTTATCTGTCAAAACACACACACACACACACACACACACACACACACACACACACACACACACACACACACACACACATGTGCACGCGAGAAAAAAAAAAAGAAAGAAAAAAACACATGCACACACACACTCATACAATGCCTGTACAGTGAAATATAAAAAAGCCCATACAAACATCAACACACTGCACTGATGACTCAGTAGAAGACAGCCTGCACTATGCCCTAAACAGTTATGATTCAAATTCAAATTCCTTCCTGGACCTAACTAGCCTGAGGAGTCTTTCAGGCTGTCCTCGTGGTTTTATGCACCCCGCATAATTTAGCCAAATTTGATCATTTTTTGCACAATTTTAGATTATTTTCCTTTATCATTCTTAGTTGAAATTAACAGAATCGCATAATTTCACATTTTTGGGCTCAGTTTGCATAATTTCAGAATTTTTCTTGTAT